GTGTACCCCTCCCCCCACCCACCCCGGCAGAATCCCACTCGTTTCAATCTTCTGGATGTGGTCAGCCAGTTTTCCCAGCACCATTTACTGAATAGGTTCTCGTCTCCCCAGTGGTTGGTGGTGGGGGCTTTGTCGAAGATGAGTTGGCTGAGAAATTGAGGTTTTGCTTCTGGAATCATTTTCCTGTTCCATTGGTCTATACGCCTCTTCTTGTACCAACACCAGGCTGTTTTGATGATTGTAGCCTTATAGTAAAGTTTGAAGTCTGGAAGTGTGATGCCTCCTGCTTTGTTTCTTTTGCTAAGGATTGTTTTGGCTATTCGTGGTCGTTTATGTTTCCATATGAATTTCTGTATTGTCATTTCCAGGTCTGAGCAGAATGATGTTGGTAACTTAATGGGTATTGCATTGAATCTGTAGATTGCCTTTGGTAGGATGGACATCTTCACAATGTTGATTCTTCCTATCCATGAGCATGGAATATTTTTCCATTTGTTTGTGTCTTCTTGGATTTCTTTGAGCAGTGTTTTGTAATTCTCATTGTAAAGGTCTTTTACTTCTCTGGTTAGGAAGTCATGACTTTTTCAGTGAGATAGTCTGTCTCAGCCAGGCCCAATTACAGGCTGACCATAGCAGCCCTGCAAAAGGAGGACGTCCCTATGGCTAATACTTAATAATATAGTCTTGTTGCCAGAGATGCTAACCAACTATGAGTTTGGCCACTGATATTTTTAATTTCTTGGGGTCTGAAAGAGATAGGGGACTCCTGGGAGGGCTTTTTTTTTTTTAACTATTGTCTAGATTGCTTTTGAGGCTTCTTTTTTTTTTTAATTTAAGGATGTGGGGTATGATACAGGATTAAATATACAAATGGTTATTGTACAGGTGAAGTTTGGGTCTCACTTGGGCTTGCTGTGGAGTTCCCTGCTAAAATGACAGCTGTGTAATCTCCAGTCTTTACCAAGTTCAGAGATATTTAGGCTTGCCTTCTGGTAGAGAAATAGAGACCAGATAAAAACCTAGTACTGTCCTATTCATCCTACTCTCAAAATTTAAAAATAAAAAATGCAAAATAGATCTTCTGGGGGTATAACTGACAAATTACACATAAGTAAAGTAAAATTTAATAAATTTTGACATATGTATATACCCATGAAATCATCACCACAATCAAGATAATGAGCATTTTAGATCTATTTGTTACAGAAGTTTCTTCGTGTTCCTTTGAAATCTCTACCTCCTGCCTTTTCCTATTTCCCAATCCTATTCTCAGGTGTCTGCTGATGTGCTTTCTATCTCTATAAATTAATTGGCACTGTCTAGAGTTTCGTTCAGATGCTGCCATATAGTGTGTACTCTTTTTTGCTTAGCTTTATTTACTCAGCATCATTATTCTGAGAGTCATCCATGCTGTTACATGTGTCAACGGTTCATCCCACTATAGTGGGATAGTGGATATACCCCAATTTATTTGTCTCTTCACCTGTTGATGAACATTTGGGTTGTTTCCAGTTTTTAGCTATTACAAATAAAGCTTCTATGAACATTTATGTACAAGTCTCTGTATGGATATAGGCTTTCATTACATTTGGGTGAATACCTCGGAATGCCTTGGCTGGATTACATGGTAGGTGTATGTAAAATTTTGAAAGAAATGACCAAACTGTTTTCTCAAGTAGTTGTAACAGTTTACAGTCTCACCAGGAATGTCTAAGAGTCTGAGTTACACCACATTCTTGTCGACATTTAATATGTGTCTTTTTAATTTTAACTCTTCAAAATAGATGTGTGTCCAAGCAGAGTGGCTCACCCCTGTGATCCCAGCACTTTGGGAGGCCAAGGCAGGAGGATTACTTGAGCCCAGAAATTCAAGACCAGCCTGGGAAACATAACAAGACTTCATCTCTACAAAAATTTAAAAAAATTGGCTAGGTATGATGGTATGTGCCTGTAGTCTCAACTTTTCTGGAGGCTGAGGTGGAAGGACTGCCTGAGCCCAGCAACTTGAGGCTGTAGTGAGCGGTAATCATGCTACTGCACTATCACCTGGGCGACAAAATGAGACCCTGACTCAAAAAAGAAAAAATAGATATGTGATGGTTTTAATTTATTGTGGTTTTAATTTGCATGTTCCTAATGAATAATAATGTAGAACATCTTTCATGTACTTTTCATTTATATATGTTTAGTGAAGTATCTGTTCAGATTTTTTTGTCCATTTTAAGTGGACATTTAAGTGGACATCTGTTCAGATTTTTTTGTCCATTTAAGTTGTTTGTTTTCTTGTTATTTTTTGAGCACCATTTATGTATTCTAGATACAAGGTCTTTGATGTGTTATTTGCAAATATTTTCTCCCACTTTATGTCTTATCTTTTTATCCTCTTGACGATGAGCATAAGTTTTTAATTTTAATAGAGAACAATTTATCGCCTTAATCTTTTATGTATCTTTCTTTTGGTATCATATCTAAGACATCTTTACCTAATCCAAGGTCACAGAGATTTCTTTTCTTTTCTTTTTGTTTTTGAGTCAGAGTCTTACTCTGTTGCCCAGACTGGAGTACAGTGGCACGATCACAGCTCACCACAGCCTTGATTTCCTGGGCTCAGTAGTCCTTCGGCCTCTTCCTCCTGAATAACTGGGACTACAGACGTGTGCTACCACCCCCAACTAATTTTTTTATTTGCATGATTGGGTGCCAGACTCTGTGGTTGTACCTTGTTGTGTGTGTGGTAGTTTTGTATTTGTGAAAACATTCTTGAGCTTTGTTCTCATACGTAGTTACTTGAAAATAGTTTGATTCTTGTAGGACTTACTCTTCAGCTTTTTTAGGAGAACCTTTAATCTAGGACTAAGTATTTGCCCCTGCTAAGGTCATTCCCTCTGAATCTCTACCCAGTTCCTATGAGGCATAAGGTTTTCCAGGCTGGATGGTGGGCACAGGCATTATTCTTGGCCCTAGGATTCCTTCTCTGGCCATGGGGAGTTTTCTCATACACGTGTAAGCTGATGAGTGCTCAGCTGAAGACTTGAGGGAGACCCTTTGTTGAAGTCTGGAGTTCTCTGTGTGGCTCTCTTGTCGCTGGTACTCTGTCTGTAAAAACCAAATTATCTTGTATTTTCTTTGTGGAAAAAATTTAAGCTATTTAATGGTTATAATGTCATTGAGTTTCCTCTTTATTCTTGTTATTTTGGGGAAGTTATCTTTTGCTAGGAATTTGTCCATTTGTCTTTGTATTTCAAATATTTTTAATAGGTATAAAGCTGCTCATAGTATTCTAGATTTTTATATCTGTTGAATCTGTTGCCATGCTCCCCTTTTCATTCTTTCTATATTTGTACCTCTCTCTTTTATTTCTGGATCAATTTCTTATCCATTTTTAACCCTACCCTACTATTTGTTTACAAACTCAAAATAGTGTGATTACTTTCCTGCTGTTGAAAATGCACATGGAGCATTAAATCCATAGTCAAACAGGAGGGAGAGATGCAATCTCGACAAAATGCATCTGTGTTAAACATTCAAGATATCTATTCTCTACTATTTAGGAGGCTCTCAAAAATCGTGTGCATAAAAATCAATTGAAGTGCTTGTTTAAAATGCAGATTACAAGGTGCCTCCTTCCAGAAATTCCATAGCCATAGTCCTAGCTCGAGTCCTGGTATTTGCAGTTTTAATAAGCACTCAGGTGATTCTGAGGTATGTGACTGGAAAACTACTCTTGGAGAAACACACCCTAACTTGTACTACAGACAGAAGACAAAAGGTTTTGAAAACCTGTTGAGTGTTCCCAGGTCACAACTTTCTACCACATCCATAGCCTTTCCAGCGTCTGTCCCTCACCTGTTCTCACCTTCGAATAGGCCTTCTAGGCGAGACTGGCACCCATTCATTTCTTGCTTGACATAGTGTTTCATAATAGTCTCTAAAATGGATTTTTGAATTTCTAGTCTAGTTAAATGTCTGAGTTTAGCCTCAGGGTGCCATCCAGATTCTACCAAATCTGTTCTTTCCTGGACCAGTAGAAACTGGACCAAGTCACCTGGATTGGTTCAAAAGCCACAAATGGAGTGGGACTTGAAAGTAGATTAAAGAGCACATCTCCAGTAGTAGAGCCCAGTCTCTCAGGGACGCCTCCATCAGAGGAAAGGTAGCCTTGTCCTCAGATAGCTACGCTTCCAGGTGAGACCCGGAAATGAGACCACGTAAAGGCATCATAAAGCATCTAGACCTTCATGGTGCATTCCGGGAGCCCTTCATATGCTCATACTGGCGCCCAATCTGTATGCTTTCTTGTTAACCTTCTTACATTACTGCTATTGGGCATGCTGGCAGCTCCCCTTTCTGTTACATCTGAGGGGGATCACTGCAGCACTGATGACTTTTTTGAGGGCATCCCTGGCGAGAGCATCTAGGGTCTTACAAAGGTACTGTGAGTGGCCATGTTCTGGTCTCCAAAAATTGTAGATTTCCTCACATACAAGTGGGGGTCACCGACTCACCAACTCTGTTTCTCTATATGAATGTGAAGGGGCCCTGTTCAAATAGTAAAGGATCTTGGAGATCTGACTGAGATTCTTTTTCTCCAAAGGGTGGTAATTGATATAGTACACGAATGTTTGCTACTGGGGATGTTTAGTATCTGAAGAGAGGATTAATTGGACAGGTAAGTTTTCTTCTAAATTTTGAAGACTAATCACAGAGTAGAATGATAAGGTATTAGCCTTGGAGGAGCACTTGAAGGTCATTTGAAGTGACCTAGTAGAAGATTCAGATAAGGAAACTGCATTCCAGAAAGGTTAGGTGTTTTGTCAAAGGCGGTGTTTGGTGACTGTACTATAAGTACAAAAATGTAATTGTTCTGCAATTTGCATCCCATTAAATTATGGGTCTGATGGACTAGGAGCTGACAGATTAGACTAATAACCATAGACTAGTTGAAATCTTTAGTAGGGTAGATTATGCCTAACTAATAAAACTCTATCTTTGTGTTCCAGGACTGAAAACTGAAAATTGTGTCGACAACCTAGGTAAGATATGCATCAAAGTATTCTGTAATGGGAATGTTATCAGTTATTTCTCATAGTATGGGTCAGAGCCACCCCGCCACTGTACCATTCTTTTCTCAAGGCTTGCACTACTGTGAGTACTTCTCAGGCTGGGAGCCTACCCGCCTCTTCCCCACCCCCACTCCCAGCCTTACTTGTAGGGATTCTCTCACTGTATTGGCTTGGGCATGCAGGGAACATGCCATGGTCATCCTGGCCTGTCCTTATAGGAGCTTAAGTACTGCTGAACGCCCCACATCTCCACCATTTCTCACATGGCTCCTATACAAGGAACTAGCTCCTATACCTAAATCTTGACATTTTGGGAAATAACATTTAAGAAACTAATGAAGGAGTGGCATGAATATGGCTAGGGGAGAGAGAATGGGATGACAGAAGTAATGCAGTCTATGTCAGCATCCCTAGGGAAAAATAGGAGGCTGTAACAAATATAATCTTTTTTAGAGGACTGTGGGAAACATTTGCAAAGGTAGACAAAATTGTACAAGTATTCAGGAACAGCATTATGAAATAGGCACATTTGAACCAAAGCTACCAGGAAATGTCTTTCAACTGACAAATGCTCTGGGTGAATCCTTTAGAGAATTTTCTTATTAAAAATTTTGGTATATCTTTTCTAGGTATAGTGGGGAAAAAATTGTAAACAAGAGTCATTTTAGCTGTCTTCCTGGCTAGCTTTTCTATGAGTTCTTTTTCATGAAATTAAAATGAATCCGTATTATTGGTCTTTGAATTAAAATTTTATGCTTCTTATAATAGCCACATTTTAATGTATCTTAAATATAAGCAACTCAAATCTTTATTATTAGTAAGCATTTAAAAATAGACTGAGCATACTACCATGTAATGAAAATGTCAGTAGAAATGTTGGTTTGGGGTTCATAGGTTATTCGTGAACAAAGAATTAGACATGACACCAGACTCAGGACAGCAAGGGAGACTCTTATTGCAACAAGTAGAGCAGAGCAGAGTTTCTAAAGCAATCTAGTACACTCCTAAGAACAAAGAAGAGTGTGTTGTTCAAAGAGTGAGACAGTTCCATTTATTTCTTTGGTTTGGCTTTTGTAGTTTGCTTTCTTTGTTTTAGTCTCTAGTCTCGGTTGGTTAGCTCGCTCTTGGGCTTGTTTTCTCTCTTTATGGTTAGGTTATAAATCCTTCATGTGACCTTCGACATAAATGAATGTTTAGATATTGTTAATTCTACCTTGCTAAAGTTACAAGTGTCTTTAAACAGTTTCAGGGCTACACATCTTCTGTCTTTTCATGATTTATTACTCATCTATGCAATGAGCTCTAGTTTACAAGACCAAGCTAATGAGTAACATAAAACATAAGTCTGAAACTAAATGTCATAAAGGAAAGGAGTTTACATTTTTAGAATTTTAGGGAGTTTCAAACGAGTCCAACAAGATTGCTCCTTATCTAGGTTTGTTCATGTCTCTTTAAAGATGTGTAGCTTCTCCATGTCTCTTGGTTATTAGGCAGGTTTAATATGGCTGGTTTTTTGTTTTTTTTTTCCCCACCTCAAACGTTAGCAGTGATTTACTAGGTAAGGTCAGGCTTACATCAAGGAAGAGGGCAACCACATTCCTAAGGGCAGTGTAGAGGGAAAAAAAGTGCTCTTTAAATCCAAGTGGCTTTTATATTCGGCAGAGCTCATCATGAAATAAAATTCTAAAATGAGTAAATAAACTGAATGCCAGCTGGTTTCCTGTTTCTTACCCTTTTCCCTCTTTGTTCCCTGATCATTTCTACCTAGCTGCCTAACAAACTCGTGTTTGTATTTCAGAATATTCTCAACCTATCTATGTCTACAGCTCTGGTGAGTGTGTTCTAATTTTTAAAAAGAATCCTCACGTGGATATTTACTAACTCTTTCCTATCTAGTGGCTGCATGTCTTAGCTGAAGAAAAGGGGTACTTTACAGTATATATGGTACATAAAGCAGTAACATGGCCTGTATGAGAAGGGGAAAGTAAGACCTTATTCAGGGGAAATGTACCTTCCTCAAATAAGAGAGCTGGCTTTGTGGAGATCTGAATACCCACTGGAAAGTTTCCAGGGAGTAGGGGTGGAGGGACCCACAGAACTGTCATTTTTGACCGTTTCTGGACCTTGTAGGTATAGCTCTTTATTTAGTCATTGAGATGAGCCTGTGTGACACCAGGCAGGCAGGTGGAATACAAAACTCAGCATATTTGCGTCTCTCAAATATGCTGATGCCTGATGTTCGGTATCACTTGACTAAAATATCTGAGTAATTAGATGTTCTTTTTTAAAGTGTCTGCTTAAAGAGATATGGCCCACATCATTTCTTTGCATGTAAGTTCCTTATTATGTGTTTGGCCCATGTGGCTACAATAAATTTTTCTTTGTTGAAAAGAGAAAAAGAGTCCACTCGTTCCTTATACATGCAATTTGCTTTATGTTTGGGAAGATATGTCCTGTCCTGCTAGAAGTGAGTGCATTATGCCCCCTGAGAACTTGCTTAGCAATCTCTCTTTTTATTAGCCATCGCATCACAAGTTCTACTGATCACTTCATGGACTTCAGCTGACTCTTCAAATAGACATTTTCCTGGCTCCTTGAGGTCCTCAGGAGACTAAGTATATGTGATGACTTTTCTTAATAGAGAGGGCCAGAGGAAGCTTCCAGTCCATTAGCCAAGGTACATTTAGACTCTCGCTGACACTTAAATTTAGAAGCAGTGGTTTACTGGACATATCAAATGGTTCTTTATGACCAAATTACCTGAAAATTGTTTTGCTGTAGCTATAGTAACTCTCAGTTCCCATCATTAAAACTGATAAGCTTCTTTTTGTAACTCAGGTGAAAAAACCCAGAAGCTTGAAGACTCTGGTAAGACATTTTTATAAACTCTGGGGGCTTACATTTTATACTTTACTGGTAGGAGCAGGCAGGAATGGCATAGTAAGGAAAAGTGAGAAGAGGCAGAGGCCACCTTAGCTTTCTGGTCTGGTATATCAGAGGCCCTCCTGGGTTGCAGATAGAATTCTTCATACAAATGACACAGCAGCTCCGAGTCTCCTGTCTAACAATCTAGGTCTTTCCAGCACATAGAGGAAGGCCTGACTTGTTATTCCACACACTCTTGTGACCTAGGTGTTGGGCAGGGCAGAACAAATGGCATTGTTTTCTCTAAATTGAAATGATTATTCTGTGTGTTTAATTCTGCCTCCAGCAATCTGAGTAACAGGTGCTGTTAGCTACGTCCATTAGATTATTTAGTATATTTCAAAGTGTAACTCATCTTCAAGTATTTGCTTTTGTTTGATTTTTTAAAATGATATTCATCAAATGTCCTCAAGGGTACTGAGACAGGAACATTCTCATAAATTACTGGTGAGATTATAAAGTATAACTTTTCTAGAGGAAAATTTAGTAACATGAATTTCCAGCTTTAAAAATGTATATACCTTTTGGCTCGGTTATAAGACTTTTTGGTATCTGTCCCAAGGAAATTAGAGGTAAACACGGACTTGTGTGCAAAAATATGTGTCACAGTGTTATGGTAGTATCAAAAGACAAAATGACAACAAATTTAAAGATCTCAATTGGCTTTATTTGTGATTCTAGAATCAGGCAACACTTCATTCCATAAAATAGAGGTAAATAGTGTTCTATTAAGCTGAGCAGAAGAAGTTGGCTTTATAGACAGAGAAGAGCCATAGAAAGCAGAAACAAAGAACTAAGAGTGTATTAGTTACTTTTAGACAGAACATTAGAAAAATAACTGGTTAGCTAACATCAGGTTACTTCAAGCTACTTTTTTATGTGTAAGGATTAAAGCGGAGAGAACTTCATGTATTAAGTCGATTGAAGATTTTTAAACTCATCTGTTGGGGAATTGGCTGTTATTTCTTTCTCCTGATTTCCTGGAACATCAGACAACTAACTCAGTTTGGGTGAGGTGGCACGTTAGCATGGGTGACTCCATTTTGATTTTCAGTCTGGTCTGTAGGGGCCTAGTGCAGAAGTTTAGTCCAAAGCAGTGACCTCCTATAATTTTTATTTGTCAGCAGCAAAAATTTAGAAACCTCAGTGTCCAACCATATCTGTGTCATGAAACACAAAACATCTTAAAAATAATATTTTTGAAAACATCTAAAGATGTAAGAAAGTACTCATAATACAATGGTAAAAATAGAATACAAAATGACATATGGAGTATAATATTAACTTTATTTAAAAACCATATGCACATATATGTATGCATAGCAATAAGATTGAAAGGAAAAATACCAAAAAAATGTGAAGAATGAGCAGAGTATCTCTAAGATTTGCGATTTTAAGTGATTTTTACATTTTAAAATGTCCTGTATTTTTCCACATTATCTGTTATAATGTATTGCTTATATAATCAGGAAACATTATATATGTGTGTGTTTGTATACATACATATGTGTGTGTATTTATCTACATGTTATTTAATATATTATAGATATACCAGGGGTGCCAAAAAACGTATACATATTTTAAGAGATGTTATCTGTGTATTACTTTTAGTTCACCATAATCAAAAGTGTCTGGATTCTGATGGTCACCACTTTGAGCACCTCTTGTAATTGCAGAAGTCAAATGTGACTTGTATTCATCTTTTGTTATCAGTATATATTGAGTGTTACAATTTTAATATAGTTTGTTTTCCTTTCTTAAAATGCGTATACACTTTTTGTCACTCTCTGAGTGTGTGTTCTTCTTTTTGTAACTCAGGTGAAAAAACCCAGAAGCTTGATGACTCTGGTAAGACATTTTTATAAACTCTGGGGACTTATATTTTACACTTTATAGGTAGGAGCAGGCAGGAATGGTGTAGTAAGGAAAAGTGAGAAGAGGCAGAGGCCACCTTGGCTCTCTGGTCTGGTATATCAGAAGCCCTCCTGAGTTTCAGATAGAATTCTTCATACAAATGACAGCAGCTCTGAGTCTTCTGTCTAACAATCTAGGTCATTCTAGTGTGCATGCAGGCACACATACACACACACACACACACACACACTCACACACATATATAGACAATAACTTTGGGTTAGAATCTTTAGATTGAATCTAAAAAAAAAAAAATCAAGAGTTGTTTATTTGATCTTGGAAAGTTTCTGGGTCACTAGCCATAGTTCTTACCATAAGTTAGGCTACAGTGGGTTAAATCTTCTTTTTTTAAATTCCATCCCCTGCTATTTTTCAAAGCTTTCAGAGTTTTCTATTATAAAAATCAAGTATCATGTTAAATTAACTTTCAAGCTGATTTTTAAAACTAAATAGTTCTTATTCTCATCCTTAGGAATAAAAAGCCAGAGGTTCACTGTCTTACCTGGCAAATCATCTTTTTACTTACTGAAACTAGCTAGAGGGTTAGGAAGAGCCACGAGAATTCCTAGGATTAAGACCATTAGTGAAGAAGGCCAGTGTGGTGACTCATGCCTATAATTTCAGCTCTTTGGGAGGTCTAGGTGAGAAGTGCACTTAAGCTCAGGAGTTCAAGACCAGCCTGGGCAACATGGTGAGAGCCTGTCTCTACAGAAAATAAAATGTTAATTTGGCGTGGTGGTTATGTGCCTGTTGTCCTTGCTACTCTGGAGGTTGAGCCAGGAGGATCACTTGGGCCTAGGAGTTTGAGGTTTTAGTGAGTGATGATGGCACCACTGCACTCCAGCCTGGGCAACAAACAGAGCAAGACCCTGTCTGTAAAAACAAAAAAAAAACAAAAAAACCCAAAAAAACATCACTGAGCCCGGAGAGTTTGAGAAATGAGTTAAGTTAGAACAAAGGGACTTCATTCACTGAGTGCTTTTTATGTTCCGTGAAGGGTACCGAGTAATTTTATTTAGTGTTTCCTTTAATCCTTACTATAAACCCACAAGACAAATATTTCTTTTACAAAATTAAACTTGTAGTTCAGAGGAATTAAGTAGCCTGTCCAGAGTCAGAGAGCTAATAGCTATAATGACTATAATAGAACTAAACCAAGCAGAAACTTAAACCCGGTACTGTTTAAGACCGTGTACTAGGATTGCCTTATGAAGATAAAGTTGAAGAGACAGGAGCGGAAGTTCTTGAAGTCCAGGCTATGGAGTGTGGACTTTGTCCTGGAGAATGAAGAGCCATTGAAAGGTGTCTCTGCCATTTTTTCTTTCTTTCTTTCTTTCTTTTTTCTTTTTCTTTTTAGAGTTAGAAATGGAGGAAGTATAGGCAAAAGGGAGCATTAACAATACAAAGTAACAGATTAATACCAATCAATATTCATTTCTGCCTTTAGGTGTGAAAATCCCTGAACCCACCCAGATATCTGGTAAGTCAGCTTTCTATTTATTCTCTGATCCCAAGCTTGAGATGAGAAAGAGTCCTAGGCATTCTAGAGGATGATATTGTCATAAGATGGTTATCCGACAGTGTTTCCCCTCCAGCTGCCTGCCAGTCACCTCAAGATGTAGCTGGGAAATGAGTAGAGAGAGTACCTTTCCTCCGCACATTCATGTCTCCTGGAATGTTGTCTCTGGGCTAGGAAAGTTAGTTCTGCGGGGATGTCATGCGTCAGCCCCTCACCTTCCAGGTGGTCCGGTCAGGTGCTGCATAGAGACCCCAGCTCTGTGCACTGGCTGACTGGGTGCTCTGGCAGGCACCACGTTGTCTGGAGCGTCCCGCTGACAAACACAGCATCGTCCTGGCATCAGCACACGCTCAGTGAAGTGCTATGGCAAAAGGCTTCGTGAGAGTTTACGTGGCCAGAACTTTTAAATAAAAAACCAGAAATCACACTGCTTATCAGACATGAGATTAAAAATTATACTCACTGGGTGGGTATGGTGGCTCATGTCTGTAATCCCAGCAGTTAGGGAGGCTGAGATGGGAGGATCACTCGAGGACAGCAGGTCAAGTCCCGCTTGGGCAACATAGTGAGACCTCGTCTCTAACAAAAACTGTACTTACTAGAGTCAACTGCAAGTCACTGAAAACATCTTTCTCATTTAGGAATGAAAGTTCCAGAGCCTTTTCTGCTACCTGGTAAGCAATGGCAGGCATGCTGAGGGAGATGCCAGGGGGGGTAGAGCTATCACTATCACCACTAGACTCGCAGGGAAGCCTAAATACTTGGCACATGATCGCACAAGCGAGGGAGGGACTAGGTCTCCTGACTTGTGACCAAATGTTTGTTCCTCAAGACTTGTGGTTTCTCAAGTGTGTTTTCAGTGTATTTGCTATGGCAGAGTTAACCTACTTTTAGGATATAAACGGGGATTTTAAAAGTGAGAGGCTGTGGCTGAGGGCAAAGCCATTGAAAGGTCTCAAGCTTCTATGACCAGAGAAACTGAGCGGTGATTCCGGTCAGGTTCCTCAAAAATACCTCAAGATAATGTTTATAGGGGATGAAAAAATAAAAAGGCCCCGCATTTATTTCCTAAGACAAGGAGGAAAAAAAAAAAGAAATGGACATGACATGGTATTTCGCCAGCAAGTTATGGGCAGTAATGACGTTTCTCTGTGCCCAAGAATCATTGTCTTTCAAATACAGCGGTCAGCTGTATTTACATCCCAGGACTAGTTGTAAGGATTATGAAACCACAGAGTCTCAGGGAACCAGCCACTGCCCGGCCCTTAATGTTCCTTCTCCTGAGTTCATGTAGCACTTTGACAATACTGTTTGCTTGTTTTCTTATTATGGGAATGATCACCTGTTAAAGAAATGAGGTTGGGCACCCTCTGTTGCATTGGTCCCCACAGTTCTGGGATCTGCTCCTGCTGCCATCTGGGGACCTGCGAGCTGGGAATGGAACAGCGAGTTCACAGCAAGTGACACGTAGGCAGACAGGTGCAGAGAGAAGCCAGCAGCTCTGTTCCGTTGACCCAGTCTGCACTGTTGGATTTATTTGACCATAGTTTTGAGATGAATCACCAGTGACACTGAGGACACACTTTGCGTGTTTGAGTCCTTTCAGCTTGCTGGCCAGAGTGTGCACAGGGCCTCGCTGGGTCCTGTGTGCTACCCCGTGACTGTATGAAGGGAGCCCTAGAGCAGGTGGGGGATGAATGTGGGTTGTGGATGGACACACCTGACTTTGGAAGTCTCCCCTCTGCCACTCTCTGGGCAACTTTGTCTGAGTCGTCTTCTTTTCTTTTAAAAAATTAATTAGCTAATTAATTATTTTATTTTAAAAATGTAAGGATACAATTCAGGGTTAGGTATACACATGGTCAGGGGCACACCTCATCAACAAGGGTACCTGCAAAGTCACCTTCTTTGCTCTGCTTCTGCTGCAACATCTGCAAATGAGGAGAGTTCTGTCTTGCGGGCCTAACTAGAGACCGAAAGAGTCAGAGACCTGGCAAAAGGAATGGTGGTGGGAGCTGTCATATTATAATCTGAACGTCTCTCTCTGTTTTAGGAATAAAAGTGGTGCAGCTGAATGAAAACCTTGGTAATAAACTCTCCACGGGGATGAACATACCATGGGTTCTAAGTCCTTGACCATGACCCTCCAGTGAGCTCTGTCCCGAGGAGCCTGGGGAGGCTGTACGGTCTGCAAACCTGAGAGGGGATATGCCGAGAGCTCCTTTCAGTGTGAGCCGCAGCCTGCTGACACTGCTCTCTGGGCAAGGGAAAAAGGCGCTTGATCAGAAACAGGACCACTGGGCTGCCTGCTGAGCTGTCTAGTCCAGAGGAAGGCAGAGGCCTCGGATGAGCCAGTTGCGCAGGGGACTCTGAGGATGCAGGGACAGCATCCTCAAGGCAGTGGAATGGGAGCTGTGCCACGTACTGGTGCTGGGACTGGCTGCCTGTGCCCTCACAGCGCTGCGTGTCCTCCGGCAGGCCCTGGGTCTTGCAAGACTGCGGCGTGTCGTGCCCACTCCCAGACAGCTGTGTATAGCTTTTTAAAAGGCGCTAGGAAAACGGGACACAGGATCTCACTGAGTCCAGTAAGATAGAGAGTTGTTCCTGACATCTCAGAGATGAGGACATAGAATACAGGGAGGTTGGGGAGCCTGTGAGAGTCTCAAAAGATACCATCAGGGCTCAGACTTGGGGAGTTCTCTTTGCTTTGTGCTGCACAACTCTCATCTTTCCGCCAGCTTTAGTTCTATACCTCTCTCCTAGGCTCCTCGAATCTGTGTCTAGCTTCACAGCTGCCCAAGTGTGGTAATATCACACTAGTTCAATGCTAGGCTCGTGTTTGGTAGTCCAGGTGGCCCCAGTTCACAGGAGTTTGACTTATGACTTTGCGCTTTATAAAAGTCTCAAAGATAAGCTTTCAGTGGAAGCCATGCTTCAGGTACCCACACAGCTGCACTGTTTTTCACTTTTAGTAGTGTTTAATACATCACATGAGATTTTTAGCACTTTATTATAACATAAGCTTGATGTTAGATGATTTTGCCCAACTGTAGGCCCATGTAAGTGTTCTAAGCATGTTTAAAGTGGGCTAAGCTAAGCTCTGATGTTCAACAGGTTAGGTTTTTAAAGTGCATTTTTGCCTCTCCACATGTTCAGTGTATGTTGGACTCCTTAAGCCCGTCACGAGTTGAGCAGCGTCTGTCTAGTGCAGTGACTAAGAGCAAAGGCTCAGGACTTAGCTGCTGCTACCACAGATTGCCTCTGCGATTTGATGCATGTCATCCCTTAAACATTTCATGGGTGCTTTAAGAAGCATCTGTGAAATATAGAAAACTCTACCTACCTGATAAGACTGTGCGAAGCAAAGGGGGCAACATAAGGCATTTACACAATGTGTGGCACAGAGTAAGCATTCAATACATAGTAGGTATTAATGTTGTGCTTGGGATTCTGAGTTCAATATGTAGAGAAAATACTTTTTTGTAAACAAAATTTTAGCTTCTATTTTAACGGAAACACATATTCATGGTAAACACAATTCAGAGAGCACAGATTAGCGCAAGTGAAATCCTTCCCCGACCCTGCACAAACCTCTAAACCTATTACCCTGCCCCTCAGGCCCATTCCCAGAGATAACCAAGTTTGCTTAATCTTTAACCAGATCTTTCTCTTCTGGGTGTACAACATAATTAACTCAAAATCTCTTTATATTTTAGAAGACAAAAATCAAGGAAATATCAACAATCCCAGTAAGAAATACTGTATTTCTTCAGTTGTTAAATGTCTGTGTCTGTAATATAGAAAAGGCGAGAAATTAATTTTTCCTCAGTAAAGGGAAAACAGTTGCAAGAGTTTATGGCATCAAAATTGCAGAGTATAATGTCATGTCCAAATGCTTTGTGTGTGTGTGTTGGTGGCAGCTTGACTTTGCTAAGCAATCATTTTCAGTTGTGTCTAGAGATCCAGCTCTTTAGGACAGCGGCTCTCAGCCCTCTCAACCCAGTTGTCCCTTTTATAACACATATTTTATAAAGTCCTTGTATTACCCTGAAGTAAGATTCATCTATAAGGTGTACCTGCACCCATAAAACTCAATCTGTCCTGGCTGTAACTATAACAAAATTATATACATTTGAATATGTAAATGCTTAGATTACACTAAAAGTTTTTGATTCTTAATGAATAGATGCTTATATTTATTTATGTCAATAAATTTGGATTTAAGAGAAGATTGAAGGAATTCTATATAGGAAGTATAAAAAAAGAAAGTGAAGAAATAGAGTAGACATGGGAGTAAAAACTAATGTTTAATGTTTATTTAAAGCTGTTCCAAAATATTTTGTTTATATGTAAAACTGCTTTAGGCTCTGGGTTTGAGTATTTTTTTTTTTTTTTTTGAGTTGGAGTCTTACTCTGTCACCCAGACTGGAGTGCAGTGGCCGCTCCCGGCCACCGCAGCCTTGACCTGCTGGGTTCCTGCGATCCTTCCGCCTCAGCCTTCCAAGTAGCCAGAATTACAGGCATGCGCTACCACGCCCGGCTGATTTTTTTGATTTATTGTAGAGATGAGGTCTCGCTGCCCAGGTGGGTCTCGAACCCGCGGGCTCAGGCAATCCACTCACCTCAGCCTCCCAAGGCGCAGGATTACAGGCTGAGCCTCCGAGCCTGGCTGGGTTTGAGTATTTTACATAGGTTTTTAACTTACATGAATGTCTAGCAGGACATTTCAAGGTTGTGCAGGAAGTGAGTCAGTTTTTCATTGCCCAGCACTGTCCCCAGCACTGCAGGACATCTGGCCCTCGGCCTCTACTGGCAGTTGTCCAGACTGACTCTTGGGACCGTACTGCACCCTTGAGAACCACTGGTCTGCAGTAACTTACAGTCACACGTTGCATAATGATAAGAATGTGTTCTGAGAGATGTGTGGTTTCGTTGTGTGAATGTCAGTGTACTTCACAAACCTAGACGGTATAGCCTACATACTCCATGTCTCAGCTATATGGTGCAGTCTGTTGCTCCTAGGCAACAAACCTGCACAGCGTTTTCCTATACTGCATACAGTAGGCAACTGTAACACAATGGTATTTGTGCATCTCAATATAGAAAAGGTATGGTAAAGATACAGTATAAAAGAGAAAGAATGGCCCACCTGCATAGGGCACTTTCCGTGAATGGAGCCTGCAAGACTGGACGTTGTTGGGGTGAGTCAGTGGAAGAGCAGTGAGGAAGGTGAAGGCCTAGACATGACTTTGCACTGCTGTAGACTTATATGTACTGTATATGGAGGCTTCATAGGTGTATTTTTAAAGTTTTCTTCCTTCAGTAATAAATTAGCTTACTGTAACTTTACAAACTTTTTAATTTTTAAAACTCTTTGACTTGTAATAACACTTAGCTTAAAACACACATTGTACGGTAGTACACACATATTTTTCTTTACATCTTTATTCTATGAATTTTTTGCTATTTAAAAAATGTTTTAAAATACTTTTCAGCCGGGCTCGGTGGCTCAGCCTGTAATCCCGCGCCTTTGGGAGGCTGAGGTGAGTGGATTGCCTGAGCCCGCGGGTTCGAGAGCCACCGGGGCAACGAGACCTCATCTCTACAATAAATCAAAAAAATCAGCCGGGCGTGGTAGCGCATGCCTGTAATTCCGGCTACTCGGAAGACTGAGGCGGAAGGATCGCCGGAGCCCAGCAGGTCGAGGCTGCGGTGGCTGGGAGCGGCCACTGCACTCCAGTCTGGGCGACAGAGTGAGACTCCAACTCAAAAAAAAAACAAACAGAAAAACCCCAAATAGAACAAAACAAAACAAAAAAACTTTTCAGACTCTTGTAAAAACAGACACAAACATACACATGAGCTTAGACCTGCAAAGTGTCATAATCATTGGTGTCCTCTGCTCACTACCACATCTTGCCTGCTGGAAGGTCTTCAGGGGCAGTAGTGGACATAAGCTGTCATCTCCTATGCTGACGCCTTCTCCTGGCATACTTCCTGAAGGACCTGCCTAAGGCTGTTTTACAGTTCACTTTTTAAAAAAAAATAAGGAGTGTAGTCTAAAATAATGGTTAAAAGTATAGTAAATACATACACTAGTGACATGGTTGCTTACTGTCATTATCAGTTATAATGCCCTGCACGTACTTGTATGCGCTTGATGCTCTCACGTGACTGGGAGTGCAGTAAGTCTGTTTCATCAGCATCACCACAAACATGAGTCACGCATTACAGTGGCTGCAACGTCACTCGGTGACAGGGACTTTCCATTTTCATTATAATCTTACAGGACTACTGTCACAAATGTGGTCGTTCATTGACCAAAGCAGCGTTATGTGGTGCATGACTGTACGAGGGCATGAGTGCATCTGCCTGTCCACTTTGCCATCTCCATACACTTAACTGCATGTTTATACATGTGGCAAGTATGGTGATAATATGAAGGCTCTTACAAATTTCTTGGCTATGTCTCCTGGCTTCGCTTACGAAATCTGAGTGGTGACTGCATTTGGATACTACCCTCCCTTATATCATTTAACAAAAACAGCTGCAAGTCAGGTGTCTGAGTGCAGGGAATTAGGAAGCAGATGACCCTCGGGAGAGACTCCTGTGCTCCTTTCCTCTGTGCAGGTGAAAGGGAAGTAGTTTCCTCCAGAGCAGTGTGTATATGGAGAAAACATGTATTTATTTCGTATCAGCTTGCAGGGCTTAGTGTTTAAAAATGCTGCAACAGTCAGTCCTCTGTATCCTCAAGGATTCAACCACCCAGATAGAAAATACTTAGGGAGCCGGACTCGGTGGCTCAGCCTGTAATCCCGTGCCTTTGGGAGGCTGAGGTGAATGGATTGCCTGAGCCCGCGGGTTCGAGACCCGCCTGGGCAGTGAGACCTCATCTCTACAATAAATAAAAAAAATCAGCCGGGTGTGGTAGCATGCCTGTAATTCCGGCTACTTGGAAGGCTGAGGTGGAAGGATCGCCGGAGCCCAGCAGGTTGAGGCTGCGGTGGCCAGGAGCGGCCACTGCACTCCAGTCTGGGTGACAGAGTGAGACTCCAACTCAAAAAAAAAAAAGAAAATACTTAGGGAAAAAAATAGTAACAATGCAACAATAAAAAATAATACAAATTTAAAAACCAATAGTGTAACAACTATTTACATAACATTTACATTGTATTAGGTTTTCTAAAAATCTAAAGATGGTTTACAGTAGACAGGAGGATGTGAGTAGGTTGCATGCCATTTCATATCAGGGCCTTTTGAGCATTTGTGGATTTTGGTATCCTTGGGAATTCTGGAACCAATCCCCCAAGGATACTGAGGGATGACTATATCCAGTTGTATATTGGTAGTTATTTTGTTTGAAATAGAAGAGACACAGAGTTGCATGTATGTACAGAAAATGGAAACAGAGAATTGCTAAGAAATTCTAGAGAACTTGAACAGAAAATAATTATCCTGGCTATGTAGAAATTGAAAAGCATGTGAAATCCTAAATAAAACCCAGAGCCGGCCAGGCGTGGTGGCTCACATCTGTAATCCAGCACTTTGGGAAGCCAAGGCGGGAGGATTCTGTGAGCCCAGGAATTCGAGACCAGCCTGGGCAACATAGTGAGATCTTGTCTCTACAAAAATAAATACATAAATAAATTAGCTGGGCATGGTAGCATGCACCTGTAGTCCCAGCTATTCAGGAGGTTGAGGTAGAAGGATCACTTGAGTCCAGCAGGTGGGGGCTGTGGTAGTCATGAGTGCCTTACTGCATTCCAGCCTGGGTGACAGTGAGACCCTGGCTCAACAAACAAACAAAACACCTAGTGCAGCACACCCTGATGATATATGGTTGGTCCTTGAACAATACAGATTTGATCTGTATGAGTCCACTCATACATGGATTTTTTTCAATAAATATGTTGGAAAACTTTTTGGAGATTTCCAACAATTAAAAAAGCTCACAGATGAACTACATATAAGAAGTAAGAAAAGGGTATGTCATGAACACATCAAATATATATAGATACTAGTCTATCATTTACTACCATAAAATATATACAAATCTAAATAGTTAAAATTTCTCAAAACTTACAGATGACTTGAAGCTGAGAGCAATGTAAATGTAAATCATAGCTACATAAAACAGAGGCACACACTGTATTACTGTAGCAAATTCATAACTGTCACATCACCCCATGATGCTAGTCATCTACAAGCCAGCAATTGATCTCTCCAGCAAATTGTGTATCACACTAGAAAGTGCTCTCTCATGGTACCAATAAATGCAACACATTACTGTAAATGTGTTTTCCTTATGATTTTCTGAATATTCCCTTTTCTCTGGCTTATTGTAAACATACGGTATATGATACATATAATATAAAAAGTATGTGTTAACCAGCCATGTAACAGTAAGACTACTGGTAGTTGAAAGTTTTTGGGAATCAAGTTACGTGTGGATTTTCTTTGTATGGCGGTTGGCACCCCAATCCCCATGTTGTTCAAGGGCCAACAGGCTATGGAAATATAGCCTGAAATCTGTAATGAATTATACTTATTTGAAAATTATTCCTGGTAGGAAGTAACTCAGGTAAGTTTTTTATTCAAACTTAGTGTCACTGCATACATATTCTGGGTATATCATATAGGTGGATGACACATATAAAAAATGATATGTCAGTGACCATGTTCTCATCAACAGATCCAGGTCCAGTTCCTGTTCCGAGTCCCAAAACTCATCCTTCTGCATCCTCTGGCAAGATGCTGCTTTCACCGTGGGGGACATTCATTATTTTAATCAGTGCTTCTACTATAAACCTCTTTGTTGCTCTGTAGTTTGATATAGTCTTTCTTATTCTTTACTTGAAATACACTACTTTTGATCCCACAGATCAAAGGAATGATGTATTTTTCACTTTGTTGGCCAAAGTCACTTGATAAAACAAGAATTGTTTATGTTATTCATTTTGTAAATTCAGAAAGTTGGTCCAGATGTTATAGAATTAATTTTTCACTTATTTCTATACTAATCTTATAATTGAAAAAACCCCAAACTGTATACTTTTAATAGAATTCAATAAAGGCATTATTATAATTTCAGAATTGTCAGATGTTAAAATGTGTCCAATACTTATGTTAGTAGTTAACATGAATTTAGTACTTGAATTCGAATTTTAAAGATAGTCTGCTTATCTCTTTGTCTGAGTCTGTGTGGGCTGCTGTAACAGAATGCCATGAACTCGGTGACTTACAAGCAACAGAAATTTATTTCTCACAGTTCTGGAGGCTGGGGAATCCCAGATCAAGGTGCTGGCAAAGCAGTTTTCTGGTGGGGGCCTTCTTGCTGGCTAGTTGTATTCTGACCTGTGTAGCAGACAGGGCTAGAGAGCTAGATCATGAATCCCACTCCTGAAGGTCCCACCAACTAATGGCACCATATTGGGTGTTAAGATTTTAACCAACATTTTTTTGTGGAGACATTCAGTCTATAGCACTTGGATATCACTTGCTTGGAGAACAAAGTCTCGTAACCTAACCAGTTATGTGATCAAGGACCACAGGCCTGCCTTACAGATGCAGTTGCCAGTGGGATAGAAACTCGGCAGAATGCTCTGGCTTGTCTTCAAACAAAGGCAGACTCCGGGCCCTGTCTTGGTGTGCTCATTTTAGGAAACTACGAACTTAACAACATCAGAACATGGAAAGCAAAAGGCTAGAGAAGTGAGCACGGTGTGTGTGACAAGTGATCCACCCACTATATGATTGTGGCTCAGTGAGTGACAGTTCTCATAAGCGACTCTTTCCACTGTAAGGGGAGGAGCTGGGCGACAGAAACCCCTTCAATTCTTGGCAATGTGGATGACAACAACGACATGCCTGTCTTCTGGGCCAGGGAGAAAACATGGACAAGGAGAGAAATTCCCATCCCAGCACTGTTGGAATGGCAATAATAGGCAGGAAAGTCTGATGAGAGCAGTATGGCCAAGCTGCATGCCATGAATTTGGCAAAGTGGCTAACCTGGAAAGAAGCATCCAGTGCCAAAGCTCCTGATTCCTGCATAGCTGTAGTCTCATCTACATCTGAGGAGAAACCCCTTTTCAGTACTGCTGTCACCAGCCCACAGCAAACACAGTGGCAAGATTCAAGAGGCTGTTTTTTGTGTAACACCATCAATGTGAGCCAAAGCATCACATAGAAGTGCAGAGTTAAAGTAATCCAAGAGAGGCCAACATGGTGTAGCCCAAGATCCGTCAGTAGTCAGAAATACTGTCAGAAATGATCCAGTTGTTAAAGAATCACTATGTAACATGATGAGGTCTAACTGATTTTTCTAGAGTTTTTAGACACTAATGACCTATTAGGGAATCCTTTATACTAGATGGTATCTGAAGTAGGTTGTATTTGCCATACCCTGGTCAAAATATATCAGCACTGATAAAAGTCCTTGGGAGGGAAAAGTAAGACTGAAAACAAGACCCAAACTCCTGAATTGTGATTAGGATTATGAGGTTTAGTATTTATGTGGACATAAATGGTCATTCTCCAAAAGCCAAATAAAGCACCAGATAGACTTATATAAAAGTAATTACAAATTAAGTTTATTTATAAGTTTTCATCTTTTTTAGAAATAAAAAGGTTTAAAAAACAAAAAGGTTGCAAAAACATTAAGTAATTTTGTTACATCCCAATTACTTAGGTGTTCTGTAAATTCCAAATAAGTAAAATAATATAAAAATATATTTTCAGATCTTTATAGAACAAAAAGAAAACCATGTCAATCATTAAATACTTTAGGATTTTCTTTACTCCTCCCACAGATGAATCCACAAATATAAAAGCTGATGCACATGGACACTCTGAAGTACACATCTTCAACAGTCAAGTATTTATACAGTTTATTTTGCTATGTGCAAAGTAGATATTTCATATTTACTGACTATGAAAAGCAGAGTACAGGCTCAATAGACAATAATCATGAAACACTGATTATGTGTAAGAAAATGCTATTGTAAAAATGTACAATAGTACATATCATTTTGGTAGTTATGCACTTTTTAAAGTAAATATAGCTTTTAGATAATAAATCTTTCAAAAGTTTTCTTTGAAGAGCTGTGAGGTGACTATGATATTTCGGATTTGACGAACAGTAATTTCTCAGTAACCCTCTCAAAAAAAACCAAGCCAGGAGAGGATTGGATTGCTTTTTCCTCCGTGTGGTCAGTTTCATTAAGGAAGGCCTAATGGAGTAGGATGCATTTCACAAATCTTTGACACAAGTCTATGAATTGTCAACTAAAGACACCACCTCTGATGTGGATGGTTTCATTCAATCCATGCTCTACCAACTTTATATCTTCTAGATCGTCTTTTATGATGCTAATCAAATGGCTGAGGCCTTCTTGTTGTTGTTTCAAATGCTAGAATGAATTTAAGAAAAAAAATATTAATGTATACTCTATTAACTGCAAGCAAGTCCCAGGAAATAGAACTCCATTTTGACTATTTTACTAGCAATACAGTACCTTGTAACTGCTCTAAATATAGTGGGCGTGCATATTTAATTGTTTGTGCTACAACTTTTGCTAATAACACTGTTATATCATTGACAGTTAAAGACATACTTTAAATAATAAAAAAATCAAATATATAATAAGCAACATCTTCAACAAAAATGTTTTTTTAGACAGCTATTCCTTTTATCAACTTTTGATAAAAAATGAAGGTATGGTATTAAAACTCAAAAAAAGTACGCAGATATAGATGACTAGCAAAACAGTCATTCTGAAAACAGAACTGTCATGTTTTGAAGAATAGAGTATATAGTGATGATAATGGTGGTGATGATTACATATGCTAACATTTTTCAGTTAAGGCCCTGTTTAAAGAGTCAAGGCTCTATTTTAATAGCTTTACTGGCATTCCACTTCATGAGGTCCCTAGAGTAGCCCAGTTAGTAGAGGTAGTCTTACTGGTATTCACTTGCAACTCATTTAAAATCCTTTTGAGCACTCTCTGGGATACTATTACCATCTCTACAGTTAAAGAAACTGAGACCAGGTAAGTAAGCTGCCCAAAGTCATGAAGTAGATGATGAGTCATTATTTACTTATTTATTTATTTATTTATTTTTGAGTTGAGATGAGGTCTCGCCAAGTTTCCCAGGCGGGTCTCGAACCCACGGGCTCAGGCAATCCATTCACCTCAGCCTCCCAAAGCACTGGGATTACAGGCTGAGCCACCGAGCCTGGCTGAGCCATTATTTAATACCCAAACGATATACTGCTTTTCATCATTTTTAAAAGGTAGGTGTTTATATTATTCCCAATTTTATTGCATATATAAACTCTTTAATATAGCCCTCTATTACAATATGCTGGGAGCTATCTAAATTTTATTGCAAATACTTAAACAATGCAATATAATTGAATGTATGTGTACTGTCCAAGAACCTAGAAGCCAAACTAGCTTTTAGTTGCATAAAACAGCAATATTTATTCTAAAGCACCTAATAAAATTGGATTTGTTGATGACACAACCATCTAAAATCCTCAAGGCCCATGAAAACAGTTCTAACTAATATGTTACACAAAGTTTACCATCGTAATATATTTTCTTTACATTTGTTGAGCAGGTTTCTCAACTTTTTCATACAAGGTGAACCTTAGATAAGAAGAAGTTGGACTAGAAATTGACCATATGACCCAGCAATCCCCCTTATTAGGAATATACCCAGAGGAACTCAAATCATTCTACAAAAAGGATACCTGCTCATGCATGTTTATTGCAGCGCTATTCATAAAGGCAAAAACATGGACCCAACAGTGCTGTGCTGCCCATCAAAACTGGACTGGATTAAAAAAATGTGGTACCTATACACAACGGAATTTTATGCAGCCACAAAGAAGGACAAACATATGAACTTTGCAGCAACTTGGATGGATTTAGAGTCCATCATACTCAGTGATCTATCACAGAAAAAAGAACAGAGTATCACATGTTCTCACTCATAAGCAGATTCTGAACGTTTACCATAATACTGTAAGAAAGAGATTGGCAGTAAGGGGATACTGCCGGGGTGGGGGGAAGCACATAACATCAAAAAGGGTACCTGATCTCAAACCAGGCAATGTGGAGACCAAAGGGAGGCCCAAACTTTACCTGTATGATGTCCACTTATATACCTAATCCTGAATTATACCCCATATCTTTAAAATAAATAAATAAATAAATAAATAAATATATATATAAAAGAGAAGTGGTTGGAGGCTCAGGTTCCCTGAGGGTTGAGGGGATCAGTAACTTAAGACACTTCTAGCTTATATGTAGCACACAGGTTGGAAAGACAGGATTCAGAGCAGCTGCTTCTCAAGCTTTAATGTGCCTATAAATCATCCTTGATAAATGCACAGAGTAGGACTGGAGTAAGGTCTGAAATCCTGTATTTCTGCTGGTCTCCCAACAGGTGCTCTTGCTGCCTACTCTCTGAGAAGCAAGGTTAGGGAACCCTGGGGTCGCCACTACCTTTACGGTCATTTTGTTGAGGGGAGGAATGATTCACTTTCTTTGATTATGGCAAACTAGTCATAACATAAAATTTACCCTTTTAACCATTTTTATGTGTCCAGCTAAGTTCATTCATGCTGTTGTACATCCACCATCACCATCTATCTTGGTTAGAACTTCTCATCTTCCCAAGTGAAATCTGCACCTATCAACAGTGAATTTCCAGCTCCCCCCCCAGTCCCGGCACACCTACTCCACCCTATCAACTGGGCCACTCCAGGTGCCTCATACAAGTGGAAGCATAAACATGTGCCCTCTTGTGACTGGCTTACTTCACTTAGCCTGACATCATCAAGGTCTAACCACTCTGTGGCACGTGCCAGAATGTCCTTTTTTTAAAAGGCAGAATAACACTCTACTGTGTATATACACCACATTTTGTTTATGCAGTCCATGATGGACTCTTGGTTATTTCCACATTTTGGCTACTGTGAATAAGGTTGCCATGAACATGAGGATACAAATACCTGACTAAGTCCCTGCTTTCAACTTCCTTGGGTATACATCCAGAAAAAATCTCAGATCATAGGGTGGTTCTTTTAATTTTTGAGGAACCGCCACACTGTTTCCTACAGAAGCTGCATACCATCTTACAATCCCCTGACAGCACAAGGAGGTTCCAATTTCCCCATTCTCACCGATACTTGTTTTCTTTTTTGCATAATGGTCATTCCAATGGATGTGTAGTGGTGACTTCACACTTTACAAAGTGTACCATTGGGCAACACTTACCTGCTTGATTTCTCGTAACAAGTCTGCATCTATGTAATACCTTTCTTCAGATCTTACTGCTCCAAAATGATTCTGCATCCTGATTTGGGACATTAGTTCGTTTAGTCGGCCCTGAAAATAAGACTGAGTCAAACTACAACTGCTAGCAACATCAACCACTTTTAAAAAAGACTGTTTTCCTTTGAAAAAATGACTTTAAAACCATCTATTAAAAGTTTCTACTTTTAGAAGAAGATAAAGAACAATGACTAAGTTTATTTTAGAAAGTTTTAATTAAATATTTAATAAACATATATATGCAAAATTTCTACTTCAAGACATTTTTTTTCTGCAGACCTACCTGAAACAAATTTCAGCTTGACAGTATGAGAAGTGCTCACCTTGAACTGAGTAGGTGCATTGAGTTCTATCTGAATTGTATCTAGCTGAACTCGCAACTGCTCCTCGTCAGCTTGGATGGCATAACCACTTTTCCTTTGAATTTCCTGTTTGATTAGGACCTATGCAAAGAAAAGCCACTGCACTAAATGAGTAATCTCTTTTCAGTAATATCAGTAACTTTATAACAATTAGTTGCTGAAAGAAATCAGCTGAAAATTACACTACCAATATAGTGGGGCTTAACAGTTCAAGATTTTGTTTCAATTTTAGTTAGGCAAAACTTACCACATACATACACTGATGTACACTCAACAATTGTAAAACTATGCTACAAAAAGCAGCATAAACGAGGCAACATAATAACTAAAAGCTTTAGACATTTACTCACAGTCTTTTAAGATCAGATGCTCTTTATGTAAAAACATGAGTCTATAATATTTAAGTTATAAATCAATTTTTATCGGACTTTTTTTGAGATTATAAAATTACATACGTGTAGTGTCTCACATATGTAATTTCAGGGCTGTGCAAGACCGAGGCAGGAGGACTGCTTGAGTCCAGGAATTCAGGACCAGCTTGGGCACCCTAGAGAGACTTCATCTCTACAAAAATAAAAAAGTTAGCTGAGCATGGTGGTGCACACCTGGAGTCTCAGCTACTGGGAAGACCAAGGCGGAAGGATCACCTGAGCCCAGGAGATTGAGGCTGTGGTGAGCCATGATCGTGCCACTGTACTCTAGCCTTAGCAACAGAATGAGACCTTGACCAAAAGAAAAAAAAAAAAAAAGCAAAATGTGTTTGTTCAGACATAATGCAATACTGAAAATATAAAAGACAAATTTTCTCTCACGTGCTCAAGGCAAATAGTGCTAACTGATGTTTATTCTCCCTGTTTATACAAACATACAGGACACACACGGATCCAAAATAATACCATACTATATATATCTTTCTGCTATATCATTCTCATCATTCTGTGACATGCTTCCTTTTTTTCCCTCCAACTTGACAATACATCAGGAGAGTCTGTGCAGTGGTCTATAAAGACAGTCTCCTGCTTGACTCTCACTCCCAGGTACTCCCTGTCAAAAGAGTGTAAGTTCCTCCACGCTCTCACCTGCTCCTATACTCAGACCTTTTCCATAAACACACACACACTGGTTTCCAGTCACCTAATTTTTAAAAAAATGGAATATTATGTACTTATAATTAACAAAATAAACTCAAGATCTCAAGAAAACCCTTCTTAATAAGTATAGTTATAATTTGTCATTTTTAATGGCTGCATACTTTTCCATGTATTATTCACAATCATTACTGTCCTGACAGGCATATGTTTTTGTTCCTAGTTTTGTCACTATGATAATGCTACCACAAGCATCTCTGTACATATATCCATTTAACTGGTATAGCTTTCCAAGGATGAGGCTGAGTTTAAAAGTATATATGTTTTCAGTTCTAAAAGAAGTTAATAGACTGCTTTCTCAAGAGATTCTAACAATTTAGACTGACAAGTCACATCAGAGTGCTGTTCTTCCCACATTCTTGTCAGTAGTAGGGAATGGTGTTTAAAATTTTCCCAACCTGGTGAGTACAAAGGGATCTCATTTTTTAATCTGCAATTCCCTGATTTTCAATAAGTTAAAGGGGCTTTTAATGATTAAGAGCTACTTTTGATCTGCTTGTCTGTGAATTGCTTTCACTCATCCTTTGCCCACATTTCAATTGAGTTTTGTCAAATTATAGAATCTCTTTGTATAATATGAATTTTTTTTTTTTTTAGTTGGAGTTTTACTCCGTCACCCAGACTGGAGTGCAGTGGCCACTCCCGGCCACCGCAGCCTCGACCCACTGGGCTCTGGCGATCCTTCCACCTCAGCCTTCCAAGTAGCTGGAATTACAGGTGCGCGCTACCATGCCCGGCTGATTTTTGATTTATTGTAGAGATGAGGTCTCGCTGCCCAGGCGGGTCTTGAACCCGCGGGCTCAGGCAATCCACTCACCTCAGCCTCCCAAAGGCACGGGATTATAGGCTGAGCCACTGAGCCCGGCTTATAATATGAATATTAACACTACAGCTAAAATCAATGCTGTCTGCAAAATCTTGTTCTAAACTCTATCACATGACTACTGAAAAAAGGTTTCTGGAACCTTCTGCTAAGCAAAATGTTTTGATTCTTACGTAGCCAAATTTGTCTTATAGTTTCTAGCTTTCTGGTCAAGTGTCTCTCAAATCCCTAGGTTATCCATGCAGCCTCATAAGTTTTCAGAGTTAAGTCTTTAATCTGCTTTATTTTTATATATGATATGATACAGTGTTCTAATTTAATTTCATTTTCTTCCAGATGGATAGCCTGTTTTTAGGTGTATAGTTCTATGATTTTTGACAAATATTCACAGTCATGCAACCACCACCATGATTAACATACAAAACATTTCTATTACCCTAGAAGTTCCCTACTGTCCCTTGTAGTCATTCCTTTCTTCTCCACCAGTGTCTCCTAAATCAACCCACTAAATTGAAACACCACCTTTGTCATATGTCAAATTTTCAGACACACTTGCATCTATTAACACTCTAGTCTGTTCCATGGGTCTTTATGTCCAATCCTACGCCAATACCATCTTGACTTGATTATTTAAAACAGGTTCTAAAATATGGTAAGGGAAGTCCTCTTCAGTAATTCTTTCTTGTTACCCTAGAAGCTAATCTCAAACACTTATCCTTCTTTACACCTAAAGAACATTTTAATACGAGTGACCAAAGAAACCCAGGAATTTATTTATAAATTATTGTGTATTTATTCTTAACATGTTTAAACTTCAGTCACCTTCAAAGTACTCTCTGTTTGATGCAATATACCCCGAGATGCTTTTTTCACTGCTCAAAATAGTTTTTTAACTCGACAGTTTTAATACCTTTTAGTGTTTCTGCTGTTTGTTGTTTCACCTCTTCCACATCAGCAAAACATTTCCCTTTGAGGGCTTTTTTCATCCAGCGAAACAAGAAAAAGTTGCTTAGGAAATGGTTGGGTGAACAGAGAGTGTAAGGCACAGGGGTCGTGCTGTTGTTTGTCAAAAACTGCTGAACACTCAGTGCAGTGTGGGCAGATGCATTTCTTCTGCAAATGGTGATGTAACCTTCCCAAATCTTCCAGACTAAGACTTTGGCTGACCATTTGAGCTGGAGGAACAAATTCCAAGTGTACTACAAGAAGTATGCTCTCCAAAAAATAATTCCAGGTTTTTCTGGGAGATTTAAAAAATATGTTTTTATATTTATATAGTGTGTGTGTGTGTGTATAATATAATACACGCACTTATTTTTAAAAAAGATGGGGTCTCACCATGTTGCCCAGGCTGGAGTGTACTGGCTATTCATAGCCACAATCATAGTGCACTACAGCCTCAAATTCCAGGGCTCAAGCAATTCTCCTGGCTCAGCCTTTTGAGTAGCTGGGACTACGGATATACACTGTCATGGCCAGCTTAATCAATTTTTAAAAAGCTGTCACTCATTTTTAATTTTAAAGTGGATATTAAGTTCTCATCTAAGAATGTGGTTTGTCTATTTGTAAAGACTTTAATTCAGATTTTTATGACTTTTTCTCATTAAAAATTCCTAAGTATTTTACAGTTTATCATCATAGTGAATGATGATAAACTTTTCTACTTCATTGACAGTATAAAGAGCTGAGTTTTGTACTTTTATATCTAGCCAGCTTATGACATTAATTCTAGAGTTTATTCCCTTGGGTTTTCCACATAATAAAGTCATATCAGGAAACAGAGATCATTTAATCTCTTTCTCAATGTTTATATTATATAATTTCTTTGCTCATTATATTTATGCAAGTCTCCAAGATACACTGATTATTAATGACAAAATTGGGTATCAATGACCAGCTTCTAAATGTGATTTTGGTGTTTTGCCTCTTAAAATATTTGCAGTTCATTTTTGGTTATGGTCTATATGTTTTCCTTTAATGTGCTGATATAATAAGTTATACAAATAGATTTCCTGTTATACAACCAATGCTGCATTCCAAAAATAAACTTTACTTGGTCATATTATATTCCTTCAGAAGTTGATATATGGCTGGGTTCTTTTTGCTTATATTCCATTTAGAATTTGGTTTTTTGGTCTGATCTGAGGTATAATCCACATACAACAACAAAATTCACCTGTTTTTAGGTGTATAGTCCTATGACTTTTGACAAATATTCACAGTCATGCAACCACCACCATGATTAACATACAAAACATTTCTATTACCCTAGAAGTTCCCTACTGTCCCTTGTAGTCATTCCTTTCTTCTTATCTAATAGCCCCTGGCAACTGCTAATTTGTTATCTGTCCCTAATTTTGCCTTTCACATAATGTCATATAAACAGAATCATGCCTTATATAGGTTTTAAGTCTGACTTTTCTTACTTAATATAAATTGTATCTCTATTAGAAATGACTGTTTATAGATTTCTTTTTTGAGATGCTACAAACACTACAGAAATGTAAAATAGTACAGCTGCTCTGGAAAACAGTTTGGTGGTTCCTCAAAAAGTTAAACATAGTATTACCATATGACCCAGTAATTTCACTTCTAGGTTTATACCCAAGAAAAATGGAAGCATTTGTCCACACAAGAACTTGTAAATGACTGTGAACAGCAACGTTATTCACAATAGTTAAAAAGCGGAACCACTAAAATGCCCATTGTTTGATAAGCAAATAAATAAGATGTGGTATATTCATATAATGGGATATTATTCAGCAATAAAAGAAATGAAGTACTATTACATGCAACAACACAGATGAACTTTGCAAACATTGTGCTGAGTAAAAGAAATACCACAGACCATGTTATTCCATTTATATGAAGTGTGAAAGGCACAGACAACAGTCAGAAGGGAGCCCCCAAGATGGCGCTGCCTCCCAAAGACAACAAAGGCCCTAAGCGGCTTTTTCCCGCCGGCACGAAACTTAAACCTGTGCTCAAACAACCTCTTCCTATAGAAATGCTGCCTCACAGTCTCCTCCAATGGGACCCAGACACGGCGTGGGCCAGCCCCTTCAAGTTCAAGGTTTATAAATATACCCTTCTCCCTGCATAGCTTTCTCTCTCTTATTCCCTCTCTCTCCTTTTTTCTTTCTCTCTCTCTCTCTCTTGCTTTTTCTCTCTGTCCCCGCCACTCTCTTACTCTCTTGCTCTCTTTCTCTCTCAGTCTCTCTCTCTTTCTCTCTCTCTCTCTCTTCGTCCTTCCTCGGTTACAGTCCCTTCGTGTAACTGCCCCTTTAATAAATCTCTCAGTTCAGACTGGCGTGGAGTGGTTACTGGGCGCCCCAAAACTTCTTTCAAAGTGTTCCCAGTAGGCAAATTCATAGAGACAGAAATTGGTTGCCTACAGCTTACACATTTGGGATGAAATGCAAAGTGACTGTCAATGGATATGGAATTTCTTCTTAGGGTAATGGAAATGTTCTAAAATTGAATGTGGATGATTGCACAAGTCTGTGAATACACCAAAAACCACTGAGACTTGTATACTTTCAATGGGTGAACTATATGATGTGTGAATTATCTCTCAATAAAGCTGTTAAAAAAGAACACATGGGGAAGCTGTCTACATTATTCCTCAACTGTCTAGAATAATAACACTGGGATTAGTTTTTTAGTAGTAAGACAAAATTCAGCAACTAGCATATCTGGCTTTGGTGCTTTTCCATGGTTGACCTTCAATTTTCCCAACTGCTTATGTTATCTGTTTAAGTACTGTACTTCTCTGTAGATTTGGGTTATTTTTATTTTGACAGAAATCATGTCTTCTTTGGGTTCCAAACTTGTTACTGAAGTTCATGCAGTATTTTCTTACTCTTTCGTTATTTCTAGTCATGTCTCTCTTCTCATTAATTTGGAATATTTTGCTCTCTTCTTTAGGCTCATGAGATGTTTTTCAAAGACAGCTTTTCAATCTATTCTTCCAGTTACTTTTTTTTACTGCTTCACTAACTTCACATTTAACTTTGTTTCTCGCTTATTAGTTTCTTTTAGCTTATCTTGACATTCCTTTTCTAATTTTCTAACATGAGTACTAAGTTCTTTTATTTTTTTTACACTTGATTTTTTAAAATGAAGACTTTTTATGGCTATATAGTTCCTCTGAGTACAGCTTTTGCTGTGTTCCATGTGCTGGTATGTAATATTTCTATTTTTCCATGATCATTTGTAATTTGTTTTTGTTGTTATTCTTTTACTTCCTATTGTTAATCTGGAAATTCTATTGTCATTTTTCAACCATTTTTCCTTTTCCTAGCACTCAAAATCAAAAAATGTTTTCAACTATTTTATGAAAGCCAGATATCAGTAATCTCATACATGATGCCTCCCTCACATTAAGGTATGGACTTTAGGATATTTTTACTTTCCTCAACCAGCTCTCTGAGATCCCTCCTGCAACTTCAACATGTTACTGAGAAACTTTGGTACTTTTAGTTTCAGACTATTATTTCCTTTGAGTCTGCTTTTTTCTATTATTATTTTTTTTAACTTTTAATTTTTTTAATTTTAACGATGTGGAGTACAATTCAGGATTAGGTATACAAATGTTATTATGCAGGTACCCTTGCTGATAAGGTGTGCCCTCTCTCTCCCGGCAGACCACTACTTCTAATTGCTTTTTTCTATTATAAAAATCTCTATATTTGGCACATATTTCATACATCTAGTCTTACAAACATTGAAAAAGAAATCCAAATTACTACCTGTAAGGTTCTATGGGAAAGATCCATGAGTTTCCTTTTGTATTGTGCAATTTTGGCCATAGCTGTAGTTTGATTCTTTTGCAGCTCACTAATATCTTCAGATATAATCTGTTTAAAAAAAATTTTTTTTAGGTAAATAAAGATATCTCAACTATTTATCAGGTACACCTATATGCAAATTCTGATTTTGAGATAAGCCTGAAACTCACCCCCCCAAAAGATAAAACTCTTTTCCTTTTGGTTTATCTTTCTTCCCTTTTTATACATCTAAACATTTTTAAAGTACCACTCAAAGATTTCTTTAGTGCTCTAGGAAATTTAGTGACGAGGTAATATATAGAAAAAAATAAAGCATGTAATTCAGAAATAATTAAAAAATTTGAAGTAATATTATGGAACAGAGCCAACAACCAGGCCTGAGTGAGAAAAGAGCTATAAGATGACATTTGGGGATTCCTTAATAGACAATGAGCTCTGAATCTAACTGCTGCCAGGAGGTCCAGTCCAGTCCAATGTTAACTGTTTGAGAGTACTTGGAGGGATTAATCAGAGTGGAAAGGAAAAAGAATAATATTTACTATACAGCCAAATACATTTTTGTGCTTCTGGATCTTTGATTTGCTCTGTGCCTGGCATGAAATCCCACTGTTTTGCCTCATGAAGTCTTAATCTATTTCATTAAAGCATTCCAGTAAGAATGAATCCCATAACTCTACCTATGATAATTAATCATACCATGCCACTAGCTTACATGAGCCCTTTGCGCTCTGAAGGGACATCATAAATCTAGCAAACCACTCAGATGTCCCTTCCCAGGAGACATGAAGAGACTGCTGGACAAACCTATGCCAGCGCAGATTTTTCAAAAATGTATTTGTCTTATAGTTTGAGGTTTTGTGTTTAGGTCTTTGATACATTTTGAGTTGATTTTTGTATACAGTGATAGGTAGGGATCCAGTCTAATTCTTCTGCATGTTAGCCAGTTTGTCCAGCCTCATTTGCTAAATATGGTCTCCTTTCTTCAAAGGTTGTTATTGATGGCTTTATTGAAAATGAGCTGGTAGAGAGCCCATGTTTTTACTTCCAGAGAAAATGTCGGAAACATCCTTATGCACATCCAAGTAGGTAACAAATTCTTGACCAAGTCCCCAAAAGCAAATGTCATAAAAGCTAAGATAGACAAGTGAGACCTCATCAAACTGAAAAGCTTTTGTACAGCAAGAGAAACTATCATGAGAGTAAAGAGTCAACCCACAGAATGGGAAAAAATATTTGCAAAGTATGCATCTGACAAAGGCCTAACATTCAGGATCTACAAGGCACTCAAATGAAGTGAAAGGAAAAAAACAACCCCATTAAAAAGTGGGCAAAGGACATGAACAGACACTTCTCAAAGATGACATATAAGCAGCCAACAGATACATAAAAAATGCTCAGCCTTACTAGTCAGAGAAATTTTAATCAAAACTACAATGAGATACCACCTAACTCTGGTAAAAATGGCTACCATTAATAACTCAAAAACAACAGATCCTGGTGTGGGTGTGGAGAAAAGGAAACACTTCTACACTGTTGGTAGGAGTGTAAGCTAGTTCAACCACATGGAAAGCAGTTTGGCATTTGTAAAAGAACTAAAAATTGACTTTCCATATGATCCAGCAAGCCCTCTCCTGGAAATATACCCAGAGGACACATAAATCACTCTACAAAAAAACAACTGCATACCCATGTTTATTGCCATACTATTCACAATAGCAAAAACATGGAACTAACCCTGCTGCCCATTGAAAGTGACTGGATAAACAAAGTATGGTACATATACATGATGGAATATTATGCAGCCATAAATGTTGGGAGCCAGCCATGGAGGCCTGCCTGAGCATTAGGGATCCAGGCAGGCTGCGGACCCTGAGACCACCAGGCTGGTTCAGGAGCTGAAGGCCCAT